CGTGTCGGAGATTGTGGGCAGAGTGGTGAACGAGCTCAAGGACGAGGCAGAGCCCTACCGCAAGATGGTGATGGAGACTATCACTAAAGTCGTTGAGAAGCTCGGGGCGTCGGACATCGACGAGCGGCTCGAAGTACGGCTCGTGGACGGCATCATCTATTCGTTCCAGGAGCAGACGACGGAGGACCAGGTCATGCTGGATGGGTTTGGGACAGTCGTCAACGCCTTGGGTATCCGCGTCAAGCCCTATCTCACCCAGATCGTTTCCACGATCCTCTGGCGTCTCAATAACAAGAGTGCTAAAGTACGTCAGCAAGCTGCCGATTTGACGACGCGGCTCGCCATCGTCATCAAGCAGTGTGGCGAGGACCAGTTGCTGAGCAAGCTCGGTCTCGTTCTCTTCGAACAACTTGGAGAAGAGTACCCCGATACGCTTGGTAGCATCATCGCTGCTGAGGGTGCAATTGCGAATGTCGTTGGTATGACTCAGATGAACCCACCAGTGAAAGATCTTTGTGAGTGTTTCTTGCTCTTGGTGCGGATCGAGAAGCTGACTGGTCACTTGTAGTGCCTCGCATGACCCCCATTTTGCGCAACAGGCACGAAAAGGTGCAAGAGGCGTCTATCAATTTGATCGGGCGTATTGGTGCGTTTCTTCTACTGGCCGCGCCGAACAAAATTTCCTTATGCTGATAACCTCCTTTCAGCTGACCGCGGTGCGGAATTTGTTCCTGCCCGAGAGTGGATGCGGATCTGCTTTGAGTTGCTGGACCTTTTAAAAGCTCACAAGAAGGGTATCCGCCGGGCGGCCGTCAATTCCTTCGGATACATTGCCAAGAGTTTGGGTCCCCAGGACGTTCTTTCGGTCCTATTGACCAACCTTCGCGTACAGGAGCGACAGAGTCGAGTGTGCAGCACTGTCGCAATAGCCATCGTCGCCGAGACTTGTGGTCGTGAGTTTTCACTTTCGTTCACTCCCGTCTGAATACATAACTGAAAATCACCACCCCTGCAGCTTTCACATGTATTCCGGCAATTCTGAACGAATACCGGACGGCGGAGCTTAACGTGCGCACAGGGTGTCTGAAAGCGCTGTCGTTCGTATTTGAATATGTCGGGCCACAGTCCGCATACTATTGCGACTCGGTCGTTACGATGCTCGAGGATGCACTGACGGACCGCGATCTGGTGCATAGACAGACGGCGAGCACGATCGTCAAGCATCTTGCGCTCGGCGTCGCGGGGCTCGGTTGCGAGGACTCGATGCTGCACCTCATGAACCTTGTGTGGCCAAACTGCTTCGAGACGTCGCCGCACGTTATCGGGGCGGTCATGGACGCGATCGAGGCGATGCGGGTGACGCTCGGACCCGGGATCCTTCTGAGTTACGTGCTGCAAGGACTGTTCCACCCGGCGAGGAAGGTGCGAGAGGTGTACTGGCGCATCTACAATGCGTTGTACTTGGGGGCAGAGGACGCTCTTGTGCCTTTCTATCCCGACCTGGGGGAGTTGTCCGAAGGACCGAACACGTTCAATAGGCACCCGTTGCAGGTCTTTATCTGAAAACGCTCTGACCGATACATGTACAGTATGAGTTATGTATTATTTTTCGATCCATATCATAGTTTTATCGATTATCATACGACCCTGACAGACTTTGAGACGATATTTTTGCTCGAGCGCTAAGTGGGCGCTAAAAATAAAGCCATAAACGCAAGAACCCAAAAGTGATGAGTGATTGTGGCTACAACTCTTCCATGGAACAAACAGACACCCCTCTTAAAGCGTACAGACAGACGCCTGAGACGGGCGTGGGCGCAACGTGGGCGTCTCAGAAAAGACGGGCCGCCCCGCCACCACTCGCTAGTATTTACTATTTAATCACCCGGGTCCGGGTCCGCCAGCCTGTCTATCAATAATCCCTCGCGGAAAATGAAGCTCTCTGCGTCCCTTGACCTCATATCCGACTTGTGCGCTGCATTTCGCGTTGCAGCGATGCCTACGATTCGGGCGATCTACCGCAAACCAGGCCTCATACTGCACTCTGCAGAGCTCTCACGCATTTTCATGGCCAGTGTCTGGTCAGCATTTGCCAGCCCCACGGATGAGGGTGCGCGCCCCGTGAAGCTCACGCTCATTTCGCCACACGCCACAGGGGCCGTGCTTGACATTGGCGCAGGTAGGTCAGCATTTCTTGTCTCAAACGGTTCATATATCATTGTACAGGTCATGGACACAGTATAGACTACTTTGACCGCACCGTAGTGACAGCATACATCGCGCTCGAGCCGAACACGCTGATGCACGCGGCGATCCGAGAGCGCGCGGCGGCGGCGGGGTTCAGCGAGGCACATGGGACCCTGCTGATCCTGGGGTGCGGGGCGGAAGACACGGCGGGGATTCGGGCACAGCTGGACGGGGCGGGGCTGCGCGTGGACAGCATGCTGTCGGTCATGACATTGTGCAGCATTCCGGACCCGCAGCGCACGCTTTCACGGTTAGTGCAGAAGGTGCTTGCTCCAGGGGGGCAGCTGCTCTTCTACGAGCATGTCCTGAGCCCACGCGCGGATGTCGCGTGGTGGCAGCAGTTCTGGACACCCTTGTGGAAGCTCGCGTTCGGCGGCTGCTGCCTAGACCGTCCGACGCATTTGTGGATCAAGGGGATGGAGGATGGGGAGGGCGTGAGCATGTGGAGCCAGCAGGAGGTTTGGGGGAAGGAGGGCGAGCCGGAGGAGCACTTGTTCTGGCATCGCGTGGGCAGGTTTGTCAAGCACACTGGCAGCAACTAGTGCCTTCGCAACGATGTACCTCGCGCTTGCAATCCAATCGGTCGCGTGACGGCGACGCGTCGACCGGCGCTTAACGCATTTCTCTCGCCCCGGCCGCTGCATCCCCGATGCGAAAGTTTTGCTGCTTCCCGCGTCGGCCGAGCTTGTGGTCAACGATGGACAGCTAGACGCCGCATGAGTAAAGCCACATTCCCGGATGGCCCGTCAAACACATATTCTTCCCGGAACCCCCGAAAGTGTTTTATCTGGGCGTTCAAATAGAGGCGCCGGGAGAATGGCACACACCTCTCTTTTTTGCGGGGACGGGCGCTTGATTGAAAGCTTCCTATTTTTCGGACCCAATTGCTGGGCTGGGTTATGCAACAGAGACATTCACACTTTCTAATTTTGCTATCCGATCCACTGGCAGTCGGATTTTCGTGTTCCCCTGCAAGGTATATGGCGCCTTTACGCTGGCGTAATCGCCGTTGTTCCCACTTTTGTCCCTATCTGCTGTCTGTCTGGTGTTCATCGCCGCAGTCCACTGCCTCCGCTCAAACTACGCTCCGTAAACGTCGTCGATGCTCGCTACATTATCAAACAAGACGGCCGACCTCTATCGCCATCTTTCCCCGCTCAAATCTCTCCTGGTAGATGTATTTAGTGGCTTATGAACGACGCGCTTACGGCTGAACTGCTCCTGCTATGTACACTTTGTTCGGCGTTACCCTGACTAGCTTGCATCCTATATTCTTGGCCGGATCTCACCGCCCCCGCGGACCCCATCGATAATTATCAACGCCATTCAATCCTCTCTAACACTCCCGTGATTCAGATGGTCGTTCAGAATCACCGCTGTCCTCGGACACCGCTCATAGCTCCCCCCACATTTTTCCGCTTCAGCAGAAATCAGGCCTTTGCGACTTATGTCTTCCCATTGACTCGGATGTTGCTCTTTGCTGCCTCCTGCCACTCAGATTACGCCCCGCTGCTTGATACAGCCTGCATCGCAAGCCGCTACCTCCATCACCGCGTCCTACCTCCCCATAAATTTATGTAGTGGCTTAGGAATGACGGCGCTTGCTGCGCGCTGAGCACTGTGATCCTTTTTGGCCTTTACCCGACAACACTTGCATTCCACGTTCTCCGTTCTTGGCCGGGATCTCGGACGGCTCCTTTGGTATCCTGCTATCTCGGACCGAATCGACATCCATCGCGCTCATTACTGATTCATCCGTGCATCTGCCATAGAATGCATGACACTTGGAGTCAACCGCGCATTTCACCCTCAGCTGTTCCGTGTTCCGAGTTCCGTAGTTCATCTGGCCACTTCGTCCAGGTGAGCCTCTTTTGACGTCTGAGTTCGGCCTGTGGATCTACAGGTCAAATCCGGCCCGCACTCGCATGCAACATTGTGACATCGTTCGTGCTGTACATCCTTGTTCATCATCCATGTGTCCCATCTGTAAAACCCCACCCATGCAAATATATTTGTTGGTTCAACAAAGTACATCGAAAGCCGAAAGAAGAAGTGAGACACTTTCTTTCTCCTTCCTTGGGTGCCATGAAGAATCGTGAGAGTCTAGGAGGGTTCGATCCAAGTTCGACCGCTCCGCGTACGTCGGGAAGCAAAAAGAAGGGCAAAAAAGCTATTATCCACAGGTCCAGGTCGACCGCGTAGTTGGTTCAGATTCAAACACCATTGATTTAATGATTTATACTACTCCCGACTTTGATTTTGACCTGTGGAAAAGTGCTCACCTTTGCATAACGGCCTACCTTTACAAAAAAAAAAAAAATTCCAGAGATGTCAATTTAACCCCAATTGCCCTGAAGTAAATGTAGATGCATGTAAATACATGGGCTGTACTATAAAACCAGATGATCCCAGAGAGCATTTACCCAGGAGAAAATTCATGGTCAAATTTTGATCAAATCGATCAAATTTGATCGCCCGTCAAATTCCATGTTTTTTTTTGTTGTTTTTTTTGCAAAGGTGGCGTCTCGACGGCTTCCCTGCGGCCTCAATTCTGCCTCAAAAATTCAGCCGTTTGGGATTCAACATTTTGATATGCTACAGATACATCACGCCAATCCCGGTGTTCACCTGTGGAGGTCCAGACGAACGCAGCCCAAAGTGCCATCAAAACCTTGTTTCAAGGCTGTGGAAACGATTGGAATACCTATGCACCTTCCCTGTAGATAGAATAAAAGGAAAAGACACTAAAAAGTAACCATCGATGGGGCTCGAACCCACAACCTTTGCCTTAATCGATTTTCTGATTACAACACATAAATCAAAGATTTACGTAGGAAGGCAATGCACTACCTTTGTGCTACGATGGCCTGATGGATGCATCCCAGAATAAGATAAATAGCTGGACAGACTCCAAAGCCAATCTCTATTCCAGTCAAGAAACTCTCACAAATGATTTTCTGCCGCGGGACAGAAATGAGACAAATGCAGGATATTCACAGACCAAAGAGTTGAAAACACGAAGAGAAATACAACGAGAATCCTCCTTCAGAATTCTTCAACGTGATCTCGCATTACTATTGCATCCGGCGCCAACCGGAGCCCGCCTTTCCATGCCGATCATTCGGATCAGGCTCGATTGACTCTTATTTGTACCACTACGTCTGCCATCATCTTTTTATTATTCAGCCAGAGTTGCGAGCCTGAACGAGTCGTCCCAAAAATGGGAGCATGCGTGAAGTCACTTTTCTATCACGAGAATTGGGTTGCGGCAAGACGCATGCTAATCACTAAGTACGTTCAGCGTGTTACTAGCCAGGGCCGGCTAGACGAGGAACGCTGTGGCTAGCTAGGTCTTGATAGCCGATGATGGTCGCCACCTAGATTATATATAGCCACAGCGTTCCTCGTCTAGCCGGCCCTGGCTAGTAACACGCTGAACGCAGTGAATAGAATCAAACCATAATTTTTGGTGGTAGGTAGACTGATTATTCCGAGGGTGTCAAGTTAGTAGTCATGTGAAGTCACGAGAAACTCTCATTTTATGACCGGGACGCCTCTCTGTGATGCGGGAAGATCAAGTCATCCGCTCACAAATAGTGGGGAAAAACAGGCACAAAGTAAAAATCTCCTTTTTAGGCGACAGGCGTTGTGGAGCCAGCGAAGCCTGATCTGAATGATCCGAGGGGCGTCTAAGACTGACCCTCGAAGTCAACCTAAATGCCTGTCTGGCGAAATTTTGAGTGCGTTTGGGATATGGAAATCCTATCGTTTGGAACGATCGATGGGACGATCGGTGGGATGACGTGTTCCGGCGCAGGGTCGGCGAGGGAGCGGAGCCTCAATAAGTGGCGGTGTCTACCCCGTGTCAACTAATAGTTACAAGCAAGCAAGCCCTGTCGCGCTACCCCTTCACCATGGCGTCCTCTCCGCCTTACGACCAAGAAGTGAAGGTGGGAGGGTACGCGTGGGGAGGAAGCAAAGGGAGACGTGGTGGGTTTGAATGTCTCTGTTGGGCGATAACTTGGCGGAACGAGGGAGAGGGCGGTGGCGGTGGCGGAGGGAGGGTCGCGCAAGAGACAGCATGGCGGGAGAGAGGAGGACGGGGTCGCGGCGGGAAGAAGAGAGGGCGCGTCAGCCGCGGTGTGGAGTGTTTGGCAAAGGCCTCTAGTGGAATGGAATTCAAGCTCCGACTTGGAGCTGCCGATGCCGATGGTATTGATGGTGGTATTGATGGTGGCATGTTTCATGGGATTTCCAACTCCCAAATTTCCTGGAAATTTTCGATTCGGATAAAAACTGAGCCAAAATTCGACAATCCCTGAACAGAATTCATTTTTTGGGCCGCCAGCCCGGAGAAAAATTCGGATAAAACTCGAGGGCGCCGGTGAGGTCTGGTCTGCATCCGGATTTAAAAAAATCAGGCCGCAGAAAGTGGAAGGAACAAACATGCTCGAGGATACCGGACTTTGTGTTTTAAAGACCAGACATGTTCTTGGAACAGGAATATGGTGATTTCCGACCCCAAAACCCATACATATCACTCTCGGGTCCCAAACAGACACAGGAGAAAATTCAAAAGCCTGGTGTACAATCCGGATAAAAACTCGCTCGACCCACGAGAGGCCTGGGTGGAATTTGGATAAGAATTTGGATAAGAATTTCCCGATTTGGAGTCCGGATACAAGGTCCTCTCGGAGTGCAGAAGCAGATTTAAGTGGATTTAAGTGGAGGACTGCCAAGTAAGTAGTATAAGATTATTTTCATGCTGAAGTCCCACACGCCCGAGACGTGGTATGGGTCCGATCGCTCAGCTTGATTTTGACATGACGCTCGGCCAGCCCCCCTACCATTCGCGTCGTAGAAATACTTATCTAAAACCACGCATATCATTCAAATCTTTCATTACTTCTTTCAGCATCTCCAACTTCTCACCGGGGCTCCACCAACCAACCTTGGGCAGATATTCCTTCGAATGGGCATAGACGCAGCCGTCTCCAAAGCGACAGCCGTCCAGAAGCCAAAAGTTACAAACGTTGCGGCCCCTTGGAAGTGTCAGCGACATTATGCACCGAGAGAAAACAACACATACAACTCGTCTCTCGTCGTGTTATCCTTGGTCGGCGCATGTTTGAATCTGCATTTGGAGCCCTTTGAACACCCATCATGGTTGTAGAATCGACAAGGAACGCCATTTCCCTCGTGCTCAAAGTCACTCGAGTCGCTCTCGGAGAGGACCGCGAGCGGGGGTCGTCTAGCGCAGGGTCAAAGAATTCGAAATTGTCCTTGTCCTCGTCTTCGTCGTCGAGGTCTTGTCCACCCGAATCGGCCCACTGGTCTTCATACCCGGCAGCCTTCAGTTTGGCATATTATTGCGGCGAGAAATTGAGGATCGGTGGGTGCTAGTTTCATGCATGCCTTGAAATCTAACAAAAGGTAAATGACCGGGAGACGCCAAAGGTCAAGTTAAGTGACCTTCGATCGCGTCCTTGAAGCACAGCATATTGAGCCTCGCAGAGCCACGGCGGAATCGCGCTTTTGAGATGGGTTGGCTCATGTATGAGCGTTTCCTCGCACGCCGCTTCAGCTTCCTCGTTCCTTTTAGGGATCAGTCGAGGATATGTTATATATCTGCCGTTTGTCTCACATGTCCAATTTCAAGTAAGCTGCGGCGAGGTTGGCTTGATACGTTGGACGAGGTCCGCGAATGGCAATAGCTCGCCGGTAAAAAGATACCCCACCACGGCTATCCCCTTGTCGGAACAGCGCATTGCCCTACGATGTTGAGGTTGGAATTCACGTTTCGATAGATGAAATACCTGGTGTTTCAGCCGCTCTGCCTTGTCTATCTTTTTCTTGGAGACGGCGCCGCGCTTTACAGCCCTCGCTTCGACTTCCGATTCGCGCCTACGGCGTGGTGTTCGGGTGGTAACGGGTCCGGGAGCACTAGGTGGCAGAGTTGCGGTGCCTGCAGGTGGGCGCGGAACAATCCCTCCCGCCCTTCCCATCCTACATCCAGCGGTCATCTCGTTTTCGCCGGCCTTGCGTCCGAGAACATGACTTGCGAGTTGGGGTCGTTCTGTTCTGATGTCGGTGCATAGGTACCATCGGGCATAGGCTTTAGACCCGTCAAATGAGCCGACGTGGGAGGTAGGAGAGCAGTTGGAGGGATGCAAACCATGGCCAGGACCACTCGCGTACTGTCCTCTTCGCTGTTGACATCGCCGACGTATCCAAAGTAGCCTCGACCAACGGGTGCGTATGCGCAGGGGGACTCCGCTGGATCGACAGGAAACATGTCCGACTCAAAAACATGCGATTCAATCAATGAGGACGAGGACGGATTATAGACAGTATGTTCCGCCGGCCCGATATGGACGAGGGACAGCGACTTGACGCTGTACGACGCAGACAGGCCTTCCGAAGACATTCCAGCCACTGATCGCGAATTAAGATGGATGGCGGTTCTAAAATATGAGCCCGCATCCCAGGGTAAGCGCCACTGAGAGAAGAAAACGTCCGCTTCTCTAAAATCCATGTTGTTGCTAAAATTGGAGCAGCAGACAACGATGCCTCCTGCCCTTGCAAACCGGATCAATTGCTGGAGGACGTCTGTGTTCTCTTCATACGTGATGGCTGCGTCAACGACTAGGACGGCTTCCGGGTTTGTGGTTTTGACGGCGCCCCTGAATGCAATTTTTGAGTCGACGGGTTGGAGGATGGCGACCGAGCGGACGGAATCGAGAAGTTGGCTGAAAAGGTCATATAAAACCTGGTGCTTTAGCAAGGAAAGAGCCACGACGTTTCGGGGGGGGGGCAAGGTGAAAGAACGCGAAAACAACATGTGACCGTGACCGATTAAGAATGCCAGCCGAGAACCCTCGCAGTCCCGTACAGCTGGTACCCTCACAGTACCATTACCCAATCCTTCGCGCGATGGAAAAGCTCACAGTCAAAGCTACCCCCGCCTGTACTGATTGCCACATAGTCCTACCCTCCATGACTCCGCAGTGCACAGACCAATGCGTCGTTGTCGCCTGCACTGACGTCGTGGCCTGCACCGACGAGGCTGAGGACTGCGTTTGTCCCGGAAACCACTGTGATCTGGTTTGTGAAGACGCAGAATGCAAGGATTGCAGCGGCTTCGACGAGTTTGTCCGTGCATAATCCCTCTTAAATCCCGCGTTGCTTACCTTGCCTTCTTCAGCTGCAGTGCTGTACAGACTTTCACTCATACTACGAGGAACCCAGAAATCATCCAGAAACCGCTACTACGTGGTCGTGGGACCCCAACCTAAAAACATTCGTATGTCCTTGTGGTGGGGGGAGCACCTCGGATTCCATTCCATGTGTCCCGAGCCCAACCTTCAACGACAATTATCCAGTCATGGCCCCACCCGCCACCCCTTCCCCGCGTGCTGCACCAGCCGTAATTGAAGCTCTGGCTTGCATGTGGGGCGACTGCGGTGTTTCGTTCAGCTCCCGCTCCGACCTCGCCGAACATGTAAATCTAGTTCATCTGCGCCACCCGCCCTCGCCCTCGCCCCCCACCTCGTCCGATTCGCGAGATCTTTTCTCAATGTCGTGCCAATGGAAAGATTGCAATATATATCCCACTCCCGATTCCGTTCCAGGACCCTCATCGGGCAACATAGACTCGATGCTGGACGTTCTCGCCTCTCACCTCTTGCACGACCACCTCGGGCTGAACAGCCTCCCGAACTACCTCCATGCTGCGCCCGGATTGGTTCCCCCCGAGTCGCACCACACCCCCGCAAGTTTTCCAGAGGAGCTCGCTGCTCCATCCGCTCCGTCCGCCGAGGAGGAAACCCAAGTGGGGCACGTTTGCCGCTGGGCCTCGTGCGGGCAT